GCACCAGGTGTGCCCACACACTTGTCAGCCGGGCACCAGGTATGCTCGCACACTTGTCAGCCGGGCACCAGGTGTGTTCGCACACTTGTCAGCCGGGCACCAGGTGTGCCCGCACACTTGTCATCCGGGCACCAGGTGTGCCCACACACTTGTCAGCCGGGCACCAGGTGTGCCCACACACTTGTCATCCGGGCACCAGGTGTGCCCACACACTTGTCATCCGGGCACCAGGTGTGCCCACACACTTGTCAGCCGGGCACCAGGTGTGCTCACACACTTGTCAGCTGGGCACCAGGTGTGCTCACACACTTGTCAGCCCAGCACGAGGGAGAGGGAGGCAACCTAGCCTACTAGGTGAGCTCTTTGCCAGTAGAGACCCTGCCTCAGAAAACATGCTGTTAGCACCTGAGGAATGACATCCCAGCGTGACCTCTGACCTCCACACACATGCGCATCCATGAGAGAGGAGGGAGGGAGGAGAGAGCGAGCACAGAAAATGGATAATTGACGTCCAGCGCTCCCTTTTGTAAGTACTTGTAATAAAAAATCATTTTCCTTGTCTGGTTCCTTTCTGCTGTCTCCTCATAGGGCTACATTGTCCTCCCAAATCTTTTGCTCTGGCTTTAAATTTTCTTAGAGAATTAGCACGGATTATTTAATGTGGCTTCTGCAAACATGGGCCAGATGTTGACTTTCTGTGCTAGTGTGTAATGAGAAAGGACGCTGAGATTAACCGAGCTTTATATGGACAAATATGTATTTTTTGCTAAGCCTGAGTAGGATTTGGTGGTGTGGAAAGAGATTGGGATGAAAAAAAAATCAAGCCCTGTTCTCTTGAAAGTGTCAATTAAAAACAAAACAAAGCCAGATGGGTGCCACATGTCTGTAATGCCTGCTCTTGGGCAGTGGAGGCAGGAGAACTGGGAGTTCAAGGCCATCCTCAGTCACATAATGTGTCTGAGCGTCCTGGACCACATAACATCCCATCTCAGGCGAGTCTGGAGCCGGACCCTCGGCAGCAAAGCTTTTGGTTACTTTGGTTCTAGTATTTACAGAGTTGTAGATTGGTGACAAGAATGTGCAGTGCTGGCAGGGAGTCTGGATGATGTCGTCAGTTGACTTAAAAGCAGGAACCTGGAATTCCATCAGGCATCGTTCTGAAGTTCTTAAGTTCAAAGTGAGTCCAGTTCGGGATGCCTTGTCTCCGAGACAGTCTGCTCTTTGGCTGTCGGCCACAGCACTGAGCAAAGTGTTGTTCTGAGTCCGCAAGTCTCTGCCATGCTGGATGGATTAGCACATGTCCCTCCATGGGATCTTCCCTGAAGGAGATTTTCCTACCCTTGATGCATCTGCCCGAAATCTGAGTCAGAACTTACCTGCTAGGCTTCTGGTCTTTGGAAGGAAGCAGAGATGTTTTCCTCATCAGTTGCTTCCTTGGCAGTGCCCCTTGCAGATCCAGATCTGACTTCCCAGCTGGATGCCTGGGGTATGTATTTCCCCCAGGAGCCCTTCCTCTGGGCAGTGCCGTCCCGCACCCATCGTGCTGAAACAGGCACTTCTGCTGGTAGTTCCAGCGCCGCAGCTTAATCCTCTGTTATTTGATTATCAGGAATAGGGGCAACAGGAACACATTTCATAGCACTCTTGTAAGAATTCTGTAAGATACATATAAAAGCACACAACTCTATAATTAATCATAAATATCCAATCAGTATGAGCTATTTTTGCTCTAGAATCAGACTATAAAGAAGGGTAGGAGTCATGTCTTGATTTTTGTGCCCCAAAGCACCTTGCACAGTCCCTACCTCAGTGCTTATGGGTTCTGTCACTTGATCTGATATGGACACAAAGATTCTGCCTCGAGTGTGAGTATTTAAACCAGCACCAGAGGAAGCCTCCACCGTTCAGATCCACTGTAGTCAGTTTACTTAGTAGCCGTTTATGACCTACAGAGTAGGAAGCAGCTCATTACACCAGAATCCACCGTGAAAGGGCTTTATTAAATCTCTGTGTGTGTTTATCAAATTCAGATTATCAGGGTGTTAGCAAGTGCTTTACCCACTGAGCCATCTTGCTAACCCTGAAGTTTTATCTTGTAAAAGTTGAATATACCAGAGTGACTGTGGCTGTGTAAAAGATGTAATGGAGTCTGGTGTGTGGGTCTGTGTGAAGGTAGCCCCCTAAAGGAATTCATTGTTTTGGAAAAGTGGCTGAAGTGTCCTTGTCACTTAGGGGTTCGTATAGGCGTTTTAACTTAATTTGAAAGTCATTTTGAAACAGCCCGTAAATTGTTCTAAATTCGCTGTGTGGGAAACCCTGTGTTTTATAGCATTGGAAATGGTGGAATTTAGCCTGGCTGTCTGGCGTACTGAACTCTGATGGCTGGTTTGACGCTGACAGAGCATTGCGAGCAGCCAATTTTGATCTGCTGCTTTGATGCTTAGGTTTCTTTGGCCCCACTTTATTGTTTAAAAGGTCTTATTATTCCTCTTTCGATAAGCAAATGACTTTTATACTAGTAGGGTATAATAAACACAGCCCTGCTCTGTTCTGGCGTGCATCCCTCTGTGCTTGCTCATACTGTGTGGTTAAGAGAGCCGTAGCCGGAACACATAGGAGCTTTTTGTTCCTACAGCCATGTGGTCTGCATATGCCAGAGCCTTGAGGTTGAAATAATGAAAAGAACGGGGCTCTGTGCAGGACTTCTAGCTTTGCCAGTTTTTAAGCAATAAACTTTGATCTGTGAGTCTGTAAGAAGGAGCTACTTGAGGGTGTGGTATAGTTTTTTCAAAAGCCACCTGAAGCCGGGTGTTGGTGGTGCAGCACCTTGGAGGCAGAGGCAGGTGGATCCCTGGGAGTCGAGTCCAGCCTGGTCTACAGAGTGAGCTCTAGGACAGCCAGTTCTATTACACAGAGAAAAAACAAAAACAATCCTATGCCCCCACCCCACAAAGCCAACTGGAAAGTTATTAATGGCTTTAAAATCTGGGCAGTCAGGTAACTAACTGTATACTTTCTAAGTTTTACATATTGAGCCTTTTTTTCACAGGGCTTTGTTGTGGTGGTGGTGGTTTGTATGTGTGTGTTTGGTTTTTTGTTTTTTTTTTTTTTGTTGGTTTTTTTTTTTTTTTTTTTTTGAGACAAGGTCTCTACATAGCCGTGGTTGTCCTAAAACTCATTATGTAAACCAGACTGGCCTCTAACTCACAGAGGTCTGCCTGCCTTTGCTTCCTGGGTACCATAAGAAGTTTTTAGAAATGTTCTTTTACAGTGTTTATTTAGCATAAGGTATTGGTGCATTATTAGTAGTAAATAATGTTAGTCAAATGAAAAAAATAAACTGTTATCTTGTTAACTAGTAGGTCAATAGTCTCTTCCAAAATCTGTTACTGAGTGAAGCTTTTTCTGTGTTAAGAATGTAGGAGACCAGGCCTGGCAGATGGCTCAGTGGTTAAGAGCTCTGTTTGGTCTTCCAGAGACCCAGCTTCAATTCCCAGTGCCCACATGACAGCTCAAACCTACCTGTAATTCCAGTTCAGGGCTTCTGACACCCACACAGACATAACATGCAGGCAAAACACCAATGATCATTAAATAAAAATACTATATATAAAATATTTGTTTTGTTTAAGAATATAAGAACTAAGCCAGGCGTAGTGACTCATGGCTGTAGCAATTGAAGGACTGAAGCAGGAGGATTGCTATGAGTTTGACAACAGGTTAGTCTGGATACAACAGTGCAAGGACAGTCTCAAGGCTCTTCTATGTAGCAGATACTCATGCTTCAGCCTCATTAATTTAAAATGCCGATCCTGTGTGCCTGTGAGTCTCACCAGCGGACTGTATTCTGGCCAGCTGATAGCACGCTTTTCTAAGGTTGCCAGAGCACAGCCCTCTCAGCCTGGGACCTTGCCAGACATGGAGTTGTCTCACCCTCACCAGCAGGCTGTGCTGTGTCAGCTAAAACAGCCGCCTGGCTCTCTTCAGTCTCCGCCCTCCCTTTCTGGTCTCTGCGCACTCAGAAGAGGGAGGAAAGTGATCAAGCTCTGCTGAGCACCCGTTACTGTGCAGGCAGTCAAGGCTTGCGCCGTAAACACCAGTGTCATAGACTCAGCAATCTGAGCTGTTACAGTGTCATCCTCATGGTCCAGCAAAGGAAGATGCTCTGAATCATACATCTGTGACCAAGTAGAGAGCGTCGGGATGCAAGCTCAGTTCTGACTCCAAACACCCTCCCTCCCTCCCTCCCTCCCTCCCTCCCTCCCTCCCTCCTCTTTCTCTTCCTTCCTCTCTCTCTCCCATCCCCCTCCCCAATTGTGCTACTTGGAAATATTAAGAAGCATTAATATGTAATAGATTTTAAGACAGTTGATACTAGTTTTGATTCAGCTATGGCACAAGATTGTACCCACTGTTCGGGGCATATACTATAAATTACAAAGTGCTCCGGAAGTGCTAGCCAGATTCTCCCTAAGATAAAATGTAAAGCAAATACTATTTTTAAACCATTAACTAGTAGTCTTTCCCCCATAAAACAAGGAGAGGAGAGAAGGCTAAACTGCGTAAAAAGCAGCAAGTGTCAGTGTGCATTTCACTTGGTGGTGTGATCTCTGCGTGTCACCTCATTTAGTGTGCACAGGAGCTCCTGTGGTGTATGGGAACAGAGGGGTGCTTCCTCTGCCACGTCCCATCTGTGTCCTTGGCTTGAAGGGTGAATCATCCCCTCCGGAGCTGCCGCCTCCTGTTCTTTCTATGCAATTAAAGTGTAGGAAAGGGTTAGTGCCCCTGCTGCATGCCAAAGAAAGTTCTCTCTTAATTTGCCACACTTTTCAGTGTGTCACTTACTAATAATAATGAGAATAATAACTGTCATATACTAGAGAAAGCTCTGTGCCAAGAGTCCTGCTTGATCATTTATAAACCTAGTCATTCTTACCAAACTTAGCAGACAGTTTTATTTTCTCTATTATACAGATGAGATCCTAAGCCCACATATCTAGTAAGTAGAAGAATGAAGATTCAAAATCAGGCTGGCTGACTCCTGTCTCTACTTTTCGAATTATTAGTGTGCGCCATGCCTCTCCACTGCTCTAGTCCAAGCCAAGAATCTTCACTTTGCTTTCCTTGAATTTCCCCGACCCCCACCTCACACCCTCTGAGGGGCTCTGAAAGGCAAATCTGAGACTAGAGGCCATTTATGGTTTTGATTTTGTTTCATTTTGTTTTGTTTTTGAGACAGGTTCTCACTACCTCATATTGACTGGCCTGGAACTTGCTATATACACCAGGTTGGCCTTGAACTCATAGAGGTCCATCTGCCTCTGCCGCCCCAGTGCTGGGATTAAAGGCGTGCGCCACCACGAGCAGCCTATTTACAATATATAAACGGAGCAAATTTCTGTTTGTATTTATAACCTTTGTCAGAGGAATTGTGAGGAATGGGTATTTTAGTGGATCTCTGAAGCCTCCTCTGGTGTTAATGGAATATGGTATTGGTCAG